TATAGAAATGGTAGTGGAACAAAAGGTTGGCAATAGTTAAATTACCAGAAACAAGGCTTCCACGGGGAGCTGGGCCCCAGTGTGGAGATCACAGCTCCTCCTCTTCCTCGGAGATGCTCTTAAAGGCACACCACTGACAGGATTATTCCTCCTCTCTGTGACATCTCCTGTGAGACCGCTGATTTAGCTGGCAGCAAGTGCACGCGTCATCCTCAAAACAAGCCCCCAAAGTGGATGGAACACATCCTTCCCACCACACACAGAGACAGTCCCCACTGGAAAACAACACGATTTGGATGTCATATGTCTTACAAGAGGAGATTACAGCTATAGACTTGGATACATGGACTCATAGCAGCCAAAGCATACAAGGCAATTTAGTTATAGTTAGGTTCGATATCAAATGAAAGGACTACAAAACGTATTGTGCAAAATGAACCACATCCCAGAGACTCATAGACAGATCAATCCTTCTATTATTTGCATCCCCTCATGACCGGAGCTGCATTATTGTAAAGTACTTCACAAAAAGGATATGTCAATAAAAATAGAAACTCCCCCACTTTCCCCTAATAATGCATCATATTTCATGTCCTGCACGAGTCCACGTTGCATAACACAGAGCTGAATAAGCAGGAGGATCATTCCAACATTATTGACAATCCTAAAAGTGTAATTTACAGTGAGCCATTGTGAAGAACAGTGCAGGTTGCCTTGGTGATAACAGATATGCTGAATACACGCGGCTCGCACAATCTACTTTAACAGCTGTAAACACAAACAGACTGTCACCCACTACTTTGGGTTAGGGCTGCACACTTTTGGCAGTTTATTTAGTTGCAACATTTCTGACCAACAATAAGGATTACGATCTGATTTTCGATATCCTGTCTTTGATTAAAAAGATATAACATAAAGATAAAGTTACATTTGGAAAAGTGTGCATATAAAGTAATTACCTCATACATAACTCACACACAACTTCTTACCTTTATACAACCATTTTTTTCAAAGGATTGACTGCAAAGCCAATTCAATTAATGTTTGTACTTGTTTTGTTTTTTTCCACAAAATTTTCGGTGAGACCTGAGTTTTGCACAATTTGAATTATTATTATTTTTTTTACAAACTATGCTTCTGCCAAGTCAAAAGATACTTGTTCCATAGAAAAATCAAGATAAATATGTCCAAATTCAAGTGTTTTTTTTACACATAAAATCAGGGCCTTTGTTGTTTATATTCAAAGAACTTTCTGAATGCAACTACTATTCAATTACGGTCTCTATTGCGATGAATCGTTCAGCCCTAGTTTGAGTCGCCTCTCTTTTGAACGCCAACGCAGACCACACATTTCTGTACACCATAGTACATTGGCAGACACACTACACACACACACACACACACACACGCACACACACATACAGAGAACAGCGGCTGCCCCACTAGCCTGGATCTGCGGAGCTCACCCGGGACGCCTGACGCACACAGCAGCAGACGCGCTCAATTGCCCACCTGGGGCCATCTTGATTTAACACAAGGTGGTGGCAATGAAATGGTGGAATATTCATCACGGTTAGGAAACGCGTGGGATGAACAATGAGACGGTTTGGAGAAAGCAGCTTAAAAGCATGTACTGTTGGGGAAATTGTTATGATCTTTGCTCGAACAGTTGTCAGTTGTTTCCAAATAGATTAGACTTTGACTGTAACAGGGACAGCAGCAGAATTTAATCACAAAAATATATTATTGTCGTTATCAACATCATTAATATTGGATTCATGGTTTAAAGATAATGTCAGTCATTTCAATTGTATTTCATTTTTAAAAGGTTTATTTTTGACCATACGACCATGTAGCATCATGTAAAGTATGTGTTTTTCAAAAAATAATATGTCCTTGACTCAACCTCCACCAGTAAGATTTTCTGGAGGAGAATAGTTTTACCAATGTCAAGGGTCCACATCTGTGTATCAATGAATTCTGCCCCAATCAGGAAGTAGTAGGGTGAAAGTGGGCAGGTCTAACTGGTGCTTGCCGTGGAAAAAATCTCTCTCTCTCCACAATGCAACATGTAACTAACATGAACTCTATTGCTAATGGCATGGATTAGCAGTTTTACCAAATAAAATGATTATGTTGATGGTGATTTGAGGTTGTTTTCAGCCCAAAAATCACATAACATTGAGACTTTCAATATTCACCACATCACTGATAAGGCCCAAACCGGCTGATTTCATCTTTTATAAACAAAACATCTGATTCTCTATGAAGAAAAACATATGCAATTTTGGTCCACAAGACATTTTGCTGCCACACTAGAACTAGCTGGCTTTTTCTCTGTCTTTTAATTCTTATTTTACTTGAGTTAAAGTAACACATGTTGTGCTTGTTCCATTAGCAAATCTCAAATTAAGTCAAAATACACCCAGCTCAAGATATACCTGTAATATTCACTCCAGACACTAATAACTTAATATCCCATCATGTTTTGCAGTGTATGGAGTGATGAATAATGTTATGTAAATTGTGTCTTGAATCCATTGAGTGATCATCTGTTTGTGAGAACAGACAAATCCCATTCTTGCTTTGTGCATATATTCATTTGACAATATACAGTATATATATTTTGCGCCTGGTTCCCCTGTGGCTCATAGGGCATCAGTAAAATGGAAAACCTCTAGCAGTATTATGTCATGCATTATACAACATACATTTGGCCACCATAAATCTTACTTTTTCACACTCTGCAGCCTTGAATTAACCAATACGTTGATGGGAAGGCACTGAAATTGTGGAATATACATCACAAAAGAGCTCGAATGGCTAGAACAATGGCAGCATCTGGAGAAAAACACAACAATGTAGATGGCAGTCCAATTCCATTACTGTGTTTCTGTCTTATTTGGCAAAGCACTATTTTAAGCATGAATCCATACAAAAGCTCAAACACTGGATGGAATTTGCCTCTGCTAAATTCCTTCTGGAGCATGATCACAAGAGCTTATTAACAGCACATCTTTTACTTTCTAAGATAATGCTTTCCCATAATCCACAATAGGCAATGTTGGAGTCTGGTTCTGGCAATAACATAAAGAACCATCTATCACATGCTGCTGCTATAGCTGCATCTGCTGCATCTCTAAGCTCCAGTGAGACAAAAAAAAAAAAAAAAAAAAACACAAGCTCTTTGTGCGTTTGTGCCTTTTTCAGGAAAACATGAGGTAGGTCTGGCCACGGACAACAACCAGTGAAACAATGGAAGGCTAATAGAGCTGGTGTTAACACGAGCCATGGGGACAAAGCGCTCCTAATTTAATCACAGTCAAATGATGTCGCCCAAAATAATATGCAAATACAATCCATTAACCGCTTGTTATTTTCAATGCATATGCTAATTCTTCGCAATCTTAAAATTGGACCCCATACAAAACGAAGCATTGATAGCACAACACTACAAAACAGCACAACTATAGGACTTTGCAAAAAAGAAATGCCATCTGTTTGTGAATGCACAATACTTCTAGCCCTTCCAAAACGTGATTTATCTAGACAAGCAGATCTACCGCCAGAAAAGTTGCACCACCAAGCGTCTTTTGATTATTTTTGTACATCCAAAATGCGCCTTTATACCGACATACAGGGATTCATACAGGCAAGGATGGTTGGAACTACCTTGTAAATGGTCTAAACTCACGACAAGCCTCACCCATCTCTGATAACATGACAACAAAGCGCCTGCCATCAAACAAACACACAAAAACAATCCGTATTTGCCATCTGACTGTCTATACACAGACATACTCTGCACAGCCAATCAATTATTCACCATATCCAGCATGGCCAAAGCAACAGAAATATGCACACCTCAATTCCATCTTGCTGCTGCTATATACTCTATTGTATGTTTGCTCTGAATAGTAGCTCTACAACTACATGGAAATATCTCTCACCAGCCCAGCACTGCTCAATTGCACTGCTAAAAATACCATCAGGGAGTGAGAAATACTAGAGATACTAATCAATGTGAGGATGTTTTAAAGCCATGTATTTGAATGAGCCAATCCCACTCAAAACGCCTGCGGCAGATACTCTATGTTTTTATTGACTTGATAGCTCACTAGCTCACAGATCACATAACGATTTTTCATACACGCTTAGTAGTGGAGATGCAGATGACCGTTTTCTCTGTCTATGTATATATATGGTGACTATTTGGCTTAAGGCAGGTCAGGAGGCACTGGGAGATCAATAATTCACTTGCGCTTGTGTGAAAAGTGAAAGATCTTGTGCTGGTGTCTTCCATCTGCTGAGAGCTTAAACAACACCTGATGGAGTCGAGCTTTTTGTTTTCATATTTCAACCTCTGTTTATTTCCAAACCAGAAAATCCACTAAACTCAAATACAAAAATAAGAGACTCAAATTGAAATCAAGATGAATACACTTTACACATACATCCAGTGCTGTGGGGCAGGACAGACAGACAGCATCGTGACATGACAACACTTTGTTATGGCTGAAACGGATAGAACAAGCCAAATGGTTTGTTTATAGGCATCAAAGAGGGACCGCTTCAGACAGGTCCACTGGGATGGTTTCAGTCCCGGGCTTAAAGCTGACAGTAAAAAAATAGACTTTCCCAGATCCTATCTCTCGTGTGCTCTCACTGTGCGCGCGTGCCGCAGTAACAGCACACTCAAAGCAGAATCCATGATAATTATCCCATTGGTGAAAACAAAAGCCGGTCTGTATTTGAGTGTGGCTCGGTTATGTTTATGGCAACGATAGAAAGAATGTGCCCCACGCTTCACGACTCAGAAGGGGCGTTGTCTGGTTCTTTTTTTTTCCTGTTATTTTTTTTTTTTTGGAATTCCACTGTGCGTCGTTGCGTCCAGACGCATGGCACAGGATCGAGGCGCAGTCAAAACCAACAGGTCCCTGTGTGTAGAGCTAATAGGGCTGTGCGGGGGGGAAGAGGGCGATATCAAAGGGAATCCCTGATCACTCCTTGCCCCCGTTAACCAAAGATAGCTCTTTGAGGATCCCACAGGCGTCCACCCGCCTCCTCTCGCGGATCATGTCCTCCAGGCTGCGGAACACCAGCGTGTGCACGCCGCTGCCGGACAAGTGCACTTTGAGGAAATACTGCTGCTCCGCGGAGTGCACTTCTCCCCCCGCTTTAAACTCGCGCTTCCCGAAGCGGCACCAGGCGGCAAAACTTTCTGAGTTGGTCCAGCATATGTCCTCCGTGCTGAGCCCCACGTGGCCCACGGCGTTCTGCATCACCAGGTCCGCGGGCAGCGGCCGGTACCGGTACCGGTTGTTGACTATCCTCCCGTGGCGGCCGTTGCTGAGCTCAAGCAGGCTGTCCTTGCGGATCTCCCCCTTGTGCAGGTGGATGACCCGGTCCTCCTGCTCGTATATGACCCAGTGCGGTGCCTGAGCCGTGCCCACCAGCTCCAGCAGGTCTCCGGGTTTGCACATAGTCAGCAAACTTTTCACCGTGTACACGTTCAAGTCCTCGTGCTCGTGCAGTTTGGAGAAGATGCATTCCTGGCAGCAGAAGGCGGAGTACTCCACCTCGCTGACCGTGAAGGGCCCCCTGTCCTCCTCCTCTCCATCCTCCGGCTCTTTGAAGCCACAGTCGGACGGTGTGCGGTCGTCCACCTCTTCCTCTTCATCAGAGAAGAAGTAGGCGACGCCGACCCGAAGCTCGTCCTTCTCCAGGCCGGACGGATCCCCCGTGGGCAGCTCGCTGTAGTTGAGGTGGGTGATCCTGTCCAGTTGGTTTCCCATCAATGACCCCCGAAGGCAGAGGCATGGACTGCGCTGTCTGCAAAACACCCACACAGACTCTATCAAAACACACACAAGCACAGACTCAAGCAAAGCGAAATCAGTGTGAAGCAAGTTGTACTGAAACTGCTGCTTGTCCTTCCAGCTCAGTGAATCATTTCCCCAGTTAAAAGTGCACATAGCCCATCCCTCCAAAGTTAATGTTTTACCTGTGGCTAACTCTCAAACATCCGAGAGGTCCATGAGAACAGCGGGAGGCCCACTCCCCCTGTTCGCTTCCCAAACAGTCCCCTGTAGGCTGAGTCTGTCACTTCTGCACTTCTCCTCCGCTTCTACACTACTCCTCTCTGCACACGCTCCCCCTTTTTAAGCACCACGGAGAGCTCCGCCTTTACGCGCGCCCATTGGTCTGCACTCAGGGTTCCAGCAGACCCCAAACCAATAGAAATCCTCTCAATATGTGTCTGGTAAGAATATTATCCAATTCTAGCCGGGCAGTTTGGCTCTTGCAGCGATAGGCGGCTGTTACTGTGGCATGGTGTTTGTTGTTAGAGCGCTGGAAGACTGTACATGAGCGTAAGTCGATAGTAGGAGGGAGCAGTGATAACACGCTGTATATCTCAGAGAAGCAGACAAGAAAGGCTTAGGCTATGGGGCTATGGTGCATTTTAATGTGCTGGGTTTAACTGTGGCCGGGAGACGAGCAAGCGTATTCTTTTCTTTTTGAATATATTATGCCTCCGGGTCCCAAGTGTACGTAGTAAAGTCTTCCCACCTGCGCCTTACATCTGCTGCTGACTGTTACCAAGACCTGCTTCAGTGTGTCAGAGCGTGTCTGCGCCTGGACACTGAGGGAGGGGGTGTCATCAAAGGGGAAAGAACACATGGCATAGTATATTTAGTATGTATACGTGTATTAATAATATATACAACTGAAGGTTTGAATATTGATTCTGAAGCAATGAGAGGAATATTCAAATATGTTCCACAGTGTAATTGAAGTTGCTGGAAAAACAGAAAAAATGCTTTACTACACACAGCATTTACATTACATGTTTTTGTGTCATATAAAAAACAGATGTATTTTTTTTATCATTCTGTGTAATACACTGTTTGAAACACATAAACATGAAATGAGTGGTATTTGATGATTCCCCATTTCAAACAACATGCACATACAGATCATTGTGAGCCTCTTGATAGAAAACAAAAATATGCATATTGATTATTAGAGATGGCCTATTCTCGGTGCAGAGCGCTCACTAACTGTTAGATCGTTCAAACCAGAAAAAGGATCAATTGTACCACAAATCCAATCCAATAAAATCCAAGTTTCTTGCTGTGAAAACGGTTTGATTATTACATGCATGAATTGTTGACCTCAGACTCATCAGTTTTTTCAGACAGAATAGTGAAGAACCAGCCTCATTCAGGTTAGCAGAGCTCTCAGCCCAAAGCGCCAAATAGGGACTCACAAGGATATTTCCGACAAGTATACAATAGATAGCATGTTTCCTAATGCTATGATAACATATTCAGTTCAGCTTAAATCAATTCAGTTCAATTTCATCACAACAGCAGTCGTTTTGAAGGACTTTTAAGTTCATCAGCAAAGATTCAAAACAGTTTGAACACAGTAAATGCAATATTATAAAAACACATAGGTGCCATTAGTTTATAGGGCGTGGGGTTCATATGTTCATAATTGTTTTTACCTTTCAAAAAATGTCCTTAAATGTCCCGTGTTGTGTCATGTCATGTCATTTTCATCCCCTTTATTTTTCAATTTCTGGATCCCGAGTCATAGTTTGATTTACCCACAATACTTTGCCTTTAGATACATCCTTCTGTTGAGACAAACCAGATGTAAAATAAATGAACCCAAATAAAGTTATCTACCCCTGCGTTTACATGAAGTGTATCTAAAATCAGTAGCTTGGTGGGTACGATGTCGCTTCTGTTTGTTTCTACACCAAGCAGACGAGCCTTTTTTAAAGAACAAAGAGTGTAACATAACAAAGCGTTGGCCTTCACTCTCTCTCATCAAAGACAGATATGACAATATGACATGTTTACTCTCATCCTTTTCTCTTTCTTTATCCTGACGACACCAGCGATTCTTTCGTCTCTCTGCGGTTCATCATTAGAGGCCCACCACGGTGCTCCAGATGGTTGGAGACAAAGAGGAGTTGAGTGGCCGTTGTTTCTGCTGCAGATAATGATCTCATATATTACATTAAAGATGCTATGTTTTTCTAATGGGTTCATCATTTTTTTTATTACTACATACAACTTGTATTATAATCGGTAATTCAATTGAAAACTTCGGCTCATTGATTCAGCTTGTATATGAATTCAGGCCGTAAAAAGTGCTGAGCAGAGACTTAGCGTGACGCCCGCTCTCCTCCAATCACAGAACGAGGCTGCGTTCTATAGCCCCAGCGCTGCTAAACACAGTAGCATGTTAGCAGAATTGGCTATAACTCCTCTGGCTGTAACTGCAGACACAGCAAAACAGCCCAAACGACACAACAGTGAGGAAGAGAAGAGGGAACTATAGCAACAAAAAAATATGGTCAAAGAAGAAATCAATCCCGGGTGAACATAGCTAGCCTACATCATGTCCTCTGGAGAGATTTGTCTATGGGAGAGACCTGCGGGTGCGGACTGCCTTGGTCTATCCATGCTCGGACCACATTCGGACGCAAAACTAGCGGTAATCTTTCAGTTATATATTTTGTTAGCAGTACGTTGCTTTTGTACCATTTCATCAGTGATTGTTGTACAGCTTACAAGAAGTTGCGCTCATGCTAATGTTTGCATACGTATCAGATCGCAAATAAAACAAAATGGCTCCGTGGAATGAGAGCGTAGGGGAAATAAGAAGCCTGTGAGCGCGTTGGGGGGCGGTGCTAAACATTCAAACCTTGCAGAAATGGGTATAGCTCCTTTCAGGAATAGAAGACGCGTAAAAAAAAAAATTCTAGTTCAAAAAACGGCTTGGATTTAACTGGGATTTGAGAACGTGTTATGAGCGACTCTTGTAACTCTGCATTATAAATATATCAATCAATATCCTTTACAATAAAATCACATTAAAACATTTATGCATTCATACAATAAAACAGTTTAAAAGCATTACAAAAGCATTAAAATCGTGCCACCGTGATGAGTGCTAAAAGTGTTAAAAGCCTGTCTGAATAAATATGTTTTGAGCCTTGATTTGAAAAGAATAAATAAGCGTATTGTCAATTTGGAATGACTTCATTACACAATATAGCCTTGTTGTTAGTAGCTGTCTCTTAATCCAGCCCTTCTCTGGTGAAAATGAGTTTAATTATAATATAAAGTACACTCTTCCTGTACTCCACATGAGCGGTACAGTGCAGTTATACCACAGCGGTTTGGTCCCCGCTGAAATAACTGCAGAGACAGGGTGATATTTCACAACCCCAATAATTGGATACGTCGCCATTTGCTAATTACAAACTAAATCTTATACACAGCACCATACCAGGCTCATAAAACAACATGCGATTAAACAAATGTGAAAATGTTTCCTGGGGTTCTTGTTGAAATGATTGGGAAAAGTGAGTTTATTTATGCCAGGTATCTCCAGGTCTTTTCTGTCTTATGCTTCAACTCCAGTTCAAGAAATTAGAATAGCCAAAGTGTACATCTTTGTGAATGAATTGGCCATAGGTATGTTTGCGTTTGTATCTATTGTATTTTGCATGTACAGGTGAAACTTGAAGATTAGAATATTGTTCAAAAGTCCATTTGCTTCGGTAATTCAACTTGTGAAACTACGACATACTCATTACAAAAGCAAAGTGAGATATATGGCACTGCTATAGTCACTTTTAATTTTATTCTACATAATGTATCTTTCCCAAAGGAGACTATCTTTTAACATTTCAACATATTTGCACACTTCCTGTCTTTTTGCACACCCTGAGTCATTCTATCCATGCAAAATGTGACATGTACATTTCTCCATTGTCAATAACGTTTTTCTTATCTTATATCAAGCCTTTGTTTTGTTAAAACTGGCTCACAGCTTTGAACGATATTCTATTCTTTCAGCTGAGTTTCACCTGTGTTAATTCACACTTTAATGTTTTTAACCAGCAAAAAACTGATTCAAAAATAGGTTCAATTGCCCCTGAACAGACCTGTTCTGTAATATGGCTTAGTGCTGCCACCTAATCAAGACTTTGGATAATTCCAGGCAAAGCAATAAGATGGTGACAGACCCAACTTTTCTATAGCAGGCATGTCAAACTCAGGCTCATGGGCCAAATCCGGGCTACAAGACAATTTTTAGTGGCCCAGTAAATAATTTTTGACTTTTATTACTAACTTGTAGCATTGATGGTTATGATAATGTTTTAACCCAAAACTTCATTAAAAGTTAAATAGTTAAAAATAAAAATAAAAATTGACTTTATATTTGGTCCAGTTTTGGTTAAATCCAAATGATAAACACATTTTGATTTATGAAAATAATAGTGAAAGTCATGTCAAAAAGAAAAAAATCATGTAAAATCATTTGTAAGAAAAAGAAAAACCCCCAATCAGTTTCTGCCTCTATAACCAAAATAAGTTTGACACCCCTGTACCATAGGAACACAAAATAATATACACGTGGGCTGATTGTATGGACTCTTCCTCACGCTAACCTCATGCTAACCTCATGCTAACCTCATGCTAACCTCATGCTAACCTCATGCTAACGTTACCTCACGCTGCTGACCACCTCTGGACATTGCAACACCACTGACTAAACCAAAAACCTATCGAACAGAGCAGAGAGCGTAAACATGCAGACCAAACTAAACTCGATTTCATTAATTCATAAACCCTTGAAGCTGAGAGGCATTTGTTGGAGCTGTTGGAGTGACGTTCTACAAACAAACAAAGCGTGAATGAAGAGATATTGAATGCAAATGCGCTCGTGAAAGCACCAGACAGCAGCTCTGCGAGTGAAGAGGAGACCGTGCAGCGGCAGAAACACACTCAGCAGTATTTTTTGGTTTTTTTTCATACGCTACTGATGCCTGTGGGGAAAATAATCTGTCGGTTTGTTCTTTCCCAACAGGAAGAAGCGTGCGACTGCGGCCTCCTTTGTGGACCGCTGTGGACCCTAGTGTGCTAATGGACTGGTGTTCTGGAGACACTGGAGGTGAGATTACATACACCATTACTGTCTGTAGTCCAGTTTATAAAGTTGATCGTGTTGTATTTACACGTTTGCAAAGTGAATAACAAAGTGTGCTCATAGCAAGCTCATTATCCAAAGGGTTATAGCAGGGGCTGAAGGTACAGGGTCTATCGGAATCGAAAAAATAAATGAAATAAAAAGTTTTAGGGACTATGGGAATTAGATAGCCACAGTATACAATTGATCTGGCCTTCCGTAGGTCACAGCGACCCGATTGTGTATCTGCTTCGATTGTGTATCTGCTTCGATTGTGTATCTGTGTTATGTTCTTTCGATGACTCTGACATATTCTGATGGTCTCGTATGCCTTACTATGTGTGACGTATGTGTAACGTAACAAATGACTATAAAAACCATATCCTGACTTTGTTCTGTCTGAAAAAACCTGAAAAATCCTGAAAAAACCTGAAAGAACCTGAAAAAACCTGAAAGAACTGAGAGAAACTGAATAAACTTCTACAGTAGGTGGTTCTGGTGCGTTAAGATCCCGTCTGTGTGAGGTTGATTTTCCACAGGACTTAATGATGAATTGGGGCTCTACGTATTCTTTTTTCGTTTTTTTATGTTAACTTAAAAGCTAACATAGATACAGACATCAATCTGACTTTGTATCTGTCTTTTGTAAAAATTGTGAAGCGCTTTGTGATCCTGGTCTGTGAAAGGTGCTATAAAGATAATTGTTTCTTACTCTGTTACTTACTTACTTATAACAGACAAAAACAGAAAGAAAAAAATGTGAGAAAATAAAGGAGCAAAGAAAAAATACATGAATAAAAGCTCAGTGTGTTCTTACAACCTGATGTCTGTGGTATTTTGGACTGTGATGTATATAAGTGACTGTATGTGGTTTGACAGATAGATATTTACTGCTGTCAGCTACTTCATGTACTTGGTATTGGGCCTCATTCACGAACGGTTCTTAGGAACAGATTTGTACGTAAATCCTACTTACGCGGTTTTTACGAAGAAAGTGGCATTCACGAATATTTCTCGTAACCAGAATTTGTCTTGGGCAAGTACAAATCCTACGAGTCCTCAGGAGCACTCGTACGCATTCAGTGCCGACATGTTCACACGCTGGGGTTGTCCTCTTTGGTGAAGTTGAATAAAAATACAACATTCCAGTGATATGTCCGTCATATCGATGTATGTATTTATTTATTTGTAGTAATCTTTATTAGTAATCTTTATTTATATACCGCCTTTTTCACTGCAGATCTGGCCTACTTTTTAATTCATTTTGAAATGAAATGTGCCAACGCTTTATCAAATACATTGGAAATCTTGCCGTGTATTAGTGACCCCTTCCTATTTATAGGGGGCATTTCTTTATCCACGGGCCACAGAACAACGGCATATATACTGCTGCTGCAGGAGGTTACTGGGGCCGCGCTGAGTCTCTGCGCTGGTCTCTCCCATGGATCTATACACTGAAAAAAGTAATACATTGCTGTGTTTCATTTGATGTTTTTTTTTTCATCCTAATAGCCTAAAAATATTAAATTGTTAAGCAAAAATACATTTTGTAAATATGATGTCCCCTTCAATCTATTTTTGTAGATTGATATAATATAAAAGTATAATTTAACAATGAGATTAAAATTATACATTAGACCAAATTACTTTTATAAATCAAGCACAATTCGCGCATGCGCACACATGAATACAGAGAGAAACTTCTGGAAGTCGGCAGAACTTGAGAGGACGGTTGAAGAGGCTAAACTGGAGGACACTTTTGTCAGGTAAGGGAGGAATTCACCAAAATTGCACATCTTCGTTGTCCTTGTCCTTTATTTCAACTTACACTATAATTTTAAGGTGACTAGTTACATTTTTATAAGGTGATTGCGAACTGATAGCCAGGTTAGCTAAGCGTTTGCAGGATAGCCCGACCTAGCATTCAAATGTATAGTCTTAATGTCATATCATTTCGATGAACACATGCGCAGATTTAAGTTTTCATAACGTACATTTTGGCTTTAGCGGAATAGCGTTACCTTGGTGCCATTTTACAGCTAACAAATGATAGCTGGCAGCTATGAACATCAGAATCAGAATCAGAATCATTTTTATTGCCAACGTAAGTAACGGGAGGTCACAGACTTGGAAATTGCTTTGGCTCAGTGCAACAGTCAAAAAGAGATAGTAAAAATAAGAATAAAAAACACTTCTAAAGAATAAATTTAAATTTAAAATAGAGTTACAGTTACTATTTACAATATACAAGTGCACATGGTGCACACAATGTAAGGTGACAGCAGTACAGTGAAGTAAAGTGACGTATGATGGGCAGTAAAGTGACTTTATAAAGGGCGGGGGGACAGGTTAAGAAGTGTTCAAGAGTCCAACAGCAGAGGGGAAGAAACTGTTCTTGTGGCGGGAGGTTCTAGTCCTGATGGACCGCAGCCTCCTGCCTGAGGGGAGTGGTTGGAATAGTCCATGTGCAGGGTGAGAGGGGTCGGCTGTGATACGACCAGCCCGGCCTCGAGCTCGGGCGACGTACAGGTCCTGCAGCGATGGAAGGCTGCGGCCGATCACTTCCTCTGCAGAGCGCACAATGCGCTGTAGTCTCTGTTTGTCCCTGACTGTGGCTCCAGCGAACCACACGGTGATGGAGGAGGTGAGGATGGACTCGATGATGGCCGTGTAGAACTGCACCAACATCTGTGCAGGCAGCTTGGCTTTCCTGAGCTGCCGCAGGAAGTACATCCTCTGCTGGGCCTTCTTGATGAGGGAGCTGATGGTCGGCTCCCACTTGAGGTCCTGGGTGATGGTGGTGCCCAGGAAACGGAAGGACTCCACAGAGGTGATGGGGGAGTCCATCACGGAGGGTGGGGGGGGGGGGACAGTGCTCTTCCTGAAGTCCACAATCATCTCCACTGTCTTCTGGGCGTTCAGCTCCAGGTTGTTACCACTGCACCAGGACACCAGCCGGTCCACCTCCCTCCTGTAGGCGGACTCATCGTTGTTGGAGATGAGTCCAATGAGGGTGGTGTCGTCCGCGAACTTGATCAGCTTCACGGAGTCGTGGCTGGAGGTGCAGTGGTTGGTGTACAGGGAGAAGAGCAGGGGAGAAAGAACACAGCCCTGTGGGGCTCCTGTATTTATAATCCGAGAGTCCGAGACATTCTTCCCCAGACGCACTCGCTGCTTCCTGTCCGTCAGGAAGTCAGTGATCCACCTGCAGGTGGAATCGGGCACGTTGAGCTGGGAGAGCTTGTCCTGGAGCAGGGATGGCAGGATTGTGTTGAAGGCAGAGCTGAAGTCCACGAACAGGACCCTGGCGTAGGTCCCCGGGGAGTCCAGGTGCTGTAGGATGTGGTGGAGGGCCAGGTTAATGGCGTCGTCTACAGATCTGTTGGCTCTGTAGGCGAACTGCAGGGGGTCCAGGAGGGGGGAGGTGAGGGACTTGAGATGGGAGAGAACCAGGCGTTCAAATGACTTCATGACGACAGACGTAAGTGCTACAGGTCTGTAGTCATTGAGTCCTGTGATCCTGGGCTTCTTCGGGACGGGGACAATGATGGAGGATTTGAAGCAGGCCGGGACATGGCAGGACTGCAGAGAGGAGTTGAAAATGTCCGTGAACACAGGAGTAAGCTCACTGGCGCAGTGTCTCAGGGTGGCCGGAGACACGTGGTCCGGGCCAGGAGCTTTGCGGGGGTGCAGCCTCAGGAAGAGTTGTTTAATCTCTTTAGCGGCTATTGTTAGGCTGGGGGCAGGGCTGATGGGTGGGTCGTTAGAGTAGTGGGGGGTGGGGGAGGGAGAGGTGTCAGGGGCAGCATCAAAGCGACTGAAAAATAAGTTCAGATCGTCAGCTAGCTTGTGGTCATCAGCACAGGGGGGGGCTTTGGGTTTGTAGTTGGTGATCTCCCGTAGGCCCCTCCAGACAGAAGCAGTATCGTTGTTACCAAACTGCTCCTGTAGTCGTTCTCTGTGCCGGGACTTGGCTGCTTTCAATTCTTTCCTGAACTGATATTTAGCTGCTTTGTAGCCGCTGCGGTCCCCCTCCCTGAAAGCAGACTCCTTTGCTTTCCTGAGCTGCCGGAGTTTAGCAGTGAACCAGGGTTTGTCGTTGTTATAGATGACCCTGGTCCTTGTTGGAATGATGCTATCCTCACAGAAGTGGATGTATGACGTCACAGTGTCCGTATATTCATCCAAGCTGTCTGTGGCAGCTCTGAAAAGGTCCCAGTCTGTAGATTCCATGCATGCGCGCAGCTCTTCCACAGCTTCATCAGACCACACTTTGGAGCTCCTCACTGCAGGTTTCGAGAGCTTTAGTCTCTGTCTGTAAGCAGGAACCAGATGTATCATGGAGTGATCTGAGAAGCCGAGGGCTGGCTTGGGAACAGCGCGAAAAGCTCCGCGCACGGTGGTGTAGCAATGATCCAGAGTGTTCTCCTCTCTGGTCGGGCATTTGATAAACTGTCTGTATTTGGGTAATTCCTGGCTCAAGTTTCCCTTATTAAAATCCCCCAGGATAATAATCAGAGAGTCCGGGTATAAACGTTCCATACACAGTACTTGCTCTGCGAGTGCGCGCTGAGCCTCGCGCGCGTCCGCGCATGGCGGTATGTAAACAGAGGCAGAATGAATGAAACAATTTCCCGCGGGGAGTAATATGGTTTACAATGAATGAAAAGATATTCCAGAGCAGGAGAGCAGTGCTTGGAGATCACTGTCACATCGTTACACCAGTTTGTATTGACGTAGAAACAGAGCCCTCCGCCTCTGCTCTTCCCTGAGAGCGCACAATGGCGATCCGCGCGAAACAGCCCAAAGCCCTGCAGCTCCAGAGCGCAGTCCGGGATCCGCTCATTTAGCCAGGTCTCAGTGAAGCAGAGGACACAGGATGTGGCGAAGTCCTTGTTTCTTCTCATGAGCAGGCTGAGTTCGTCCATCTTATTGCCCAGTGAGCGTACGTTGGAGAGAAAAATGCCGGGGAGAGCCGTGCGCGCTCCTCTCCTCCTAAGACGCACGAGCAGGCCTCCTCGCTTTCCCCTTTTACGGGCCCACACTTTTTTGGCTAGAACATGAACTAAATCAGCCGCAGATGCCAAGAAAACAGGCAATAGGTCCATGGGAACGGTGGGTCGGATGTTCATAAGTTCCTCACGGGTGTAGGAACAGCCAGATGCACAGTTAAAAAGTAAAAACAAAAGAAAAAGAGAGCAGCAAAGAGCCATGTCGACCGTACGAGGCGCCATCTTGAAACGCAACATGCTAACGTTAACTTCACGATACAGAAAACCCGCCAGAATGTTCTCGCAGGCGTTTAAGTTAGATGCAGCAGTTGACGAGAGAATGAGACTTTGTGCCTCCTGTGTGTAATTTATAAAACGTAAGTTTTGATGATTGAAACCTAAATGTGTGAAAAAAACGTTGTACTGCTGTTTATGATATTATGGTCAAGATTGCTATCTGAATGAGACGTTATAATTATACAGGACGTATTATCACCCTGGGTGTGTATGTGACTTAATATTCATTTCTGTACACACTAAAACGGTGATTTACCTTGACGAAAAGAGCTGTAAAAACTGTATCAAGCCTTGATTCTTGATTCACGTTAGGTTACGTTGATCTTAATATTTTGTATAATACTGTGGTCTGTCCCAATGCTAATTGCAGTTGTGGTGTTCTAGACTCTGCGTGCTCCTTGATGCTTTATTCCTTATCTAATTGCTTCTAAGCAGTTGAAAAGTTTATTGGTTTACATCTACCCTATTTCAACATGTGGGCGCGACCATTACTGCAGGGATGAGAATTGTCCGTGTTTTGACGAAATTACGACGTTTTCTCGCTGAAAATGGACCTCCGTGATTTTGTTCTAAAGTACATTATTAAAAGTATATGTACCATTTTCATCACAAACAATTTGTTAACAGGCGGGCGTAAGGGCGGCATTGTACGCTGTGGGGGTCCTTAACACATTTGACGGAAATGGCGAATACTAAAGCGTAGCCTTAAACTGAGTGAGTCAGACACAGGGAAACACTGGAAAATACTGTCGAGGTACGCACGCGTTCACCTGCTCATTCTGTGCAAGACGAGAGCCCGTTGTGTGTGCGGCTCTGAGCGGAGATGTCTGTGTGAGGCTGTGAAGCAAATGGGTGTGCGCGCTCCTATTGTCATAGTGAATTATAATTATGAATTATGAGCAGAAGTCACCAATTCTTAGTGTCTTTTTATAAAAAAAAAGGTCGATGCTGAAGGGGGGCGCTTTGCATTAATTGGCTGACATCTCAGACTTTTTTGAAATGTCCTACTCTCATCCCTGTTATTGAAACAGCGTCTGGCGCCAGCTATGCCTAGTAATGGTCCAGTGGATATAATACAGCGCTTGACCTGGGTTCAAGTCTGGGTCTTTGGAATTGTTTTGATACTAGCATGCACAGAAAACATCATGCCGCTTTGATTGATTGGCGTTTTAAGATATTTCATAGTAACACTGAGTGTCAAACACGTCTTAGACGTCTCGTGTTTTGAAAAGCGTAGTCAGCCACTATCCAGATTTATAAAATGTAATGATCAGTCGACAACAATAGTGACAATACCACCATGACAGATAAATTCTTAATAATCTTTTTTTAGGATTATGAAAACTCAATTGTCAAAAAAAAAGGTTTGAGAGCATACCCCGTCAGTGTGCAAAATCAAATGTATTCCAATTGTTAATTATATCATTATATTAATTAAATAATGTTAGTCTATTTTTGATCTGTAAATTGTATACTTGTATGTCTAAAAAATAGGGAATACAAAAATGAGGGTAATTTTTCCCTCTTGACTAAACTTTTATTTCAATGTGTGTTAAATGTAAAATTTGTGAAAGAAGACATGCATTTCGACTTTGAAACTGTTTTTATGTTTGAATTTTAAGGAAGAAGCTGATTGGTTGGCTCATTTCCTGATTCCCTTGTAGTGGCCGAGTCACTGGTACCTGCCTTATAGTTTTGACACTGGTAAGTTCTTTTTTTCATTGTGTCTTTTCCTTGTATAAGATGAGTCAACCACAATTTATTCTGTGATGAAAAGGTTATAATTTCATATTGGACTGGGAAGAATTTGGCCTAATTGATTGATTTAATTGATAAGATTCAGATTAATTTATTAGCCATTTGCAGTCAAACTACATTGGCATACATCTGTAAAAGCCCCCAGTGTGGATAAAAAAAACAAGGTTAAAAGTATAGAAATAAAACAGTAAACTATTAACACTGTGAAATTGATCAATCTAAAACAGTTTTAATACGAGTGCAAGATCATGAAAGTGCTCTATTAAAATTGATAACAGCTTGTGGAAAGAAGCTGTTAGCGTGTCCTGCATCTCAGCAAACAATATCTTCTGCCAGAGTTATGAAAGCTTTTCCAGGGTGGACAGAAAATTGAATATTTTAAGAGCTCTGTTTAAAGGTCTGGATTTATAAAGAACCTCCATAACAGGGCGCTCACAGTCCTCTGTGCAGAGCGGAGCACCTTGTTTAGCGCTCTTTCTTTGTCTGTGATGTTACCAAACCACACAGTCACAGAACCAACAAGCAAACTCTCAATGGTCCAGCTTATGTGCTGGGAATTGTGACATTTTACTACCACACACTAAAATATTTGCAATTTGAGTTATGCTTCAATCTGGTAACTAAAGATGTGTTTTCCATGATGTGTCCTCTTTTCTCAGTTCTCGGATCATGTGGAAATGCAAAGACTGTTTCAAATAGAAGAGGTCAGTTTTGGTGCAAAACTATGTCGATTCTCCCTTTTTGTATTCAAAACAGATTTTCTGTGTAATATAATTACAGCTTGGGCACTATTTCCAATAGCCAACGTTAATCCCAAACTCTTTGTATGTTCTGCTCATTTTTTAGATCAGTGCAGAGTTTATGAGGATCACTACAGTGCCCTTGGAGACCAAATTCATACAGGAGTTGGACAGGCATTCCACAAAGATAGTGCGGATCATACGGAACAAGGGTGGCGTAATAAAAGAAAGGACTGGCCGTATCCTGCAGACTTTAGATAAGGTATGTACAGTTACGGCAGAGTTAGACCGAGTCAAACATGTAAGGGATATTAGACACAGTGAGTCTATCCTATTTATTCACCCAGTGTTTCAATGTACTTTTTGTCTGGTAAATAAGAACATGTAATTTCATGAATGCATTTGGTTCAGGGCGTGGACGTCAATACAAGGAGGGAATCGGTTCTGAAATGTTTGGTCTACTACTTTGGTGAATCTGTTCACCACCTCATCAAAGAAATCCAGGTACATGCATTGCTCAGCCATCCATGCACAAACACATACTTAGTACCAGGCCTGAACTGTTCATCGGACGTACCCATTTTTTTGCCGGTCTGCCTGCTGCATACAAAAAATGAAAAGATAATTTTCTCTCTGGTCTCTTTCTGGTCCCTCTCTAGTCTCTCTGGTCCCCTCCTGGTCTCTCTGGTCCCTCTCTCTGGTTCCTCTCTCTAGTCTCTCTGCTCTATGGTCCCCTTCTGGTCTCTCTCTGGTTCCTCTCTCTAGTCTCTCTGCTCTATGGTCCCCTTCTGGTCTCTCTCTGGTTCCTCTCTCTAGTCTCTCTGCTCTATGGTCCCCTTCTGGTCTCTCTCTGGTTCCTCTCTCTAGTCTCTCTGGTCTTTCTGGTTTTTCTCTTTGGTCTCTCCCTGCTCTCTCTCTCTCTCTAGTCTGTGGTCTCTCTCTCTCTGGTCTATCTCTAGTCTCTCTCTGCTCTCCCTCGCTCTCTGGTCTTCTTCTTTGGTCTCTCTTTCCAATCTCTCTCTAGTCCGTCTCTCTCCCTCTGGTCTCTCTCAGGTCTCGCTCTACTCTCTAGTCCCTCTCTGGTCTCTCTCTAGTCTGTCTCTGGTTTCTCCCTCTCTGGTCTCTCTCTACTCTCGTTTCTCTCTGGTTTCTCTCCTCAGGTCTCTCTATACTCTCTAGTCCTTCTCTAGTCTCATTCTCTGACTCTCTTGTTTCTCTCCTCAGGTCTCTCTATACTCTCTAGTCCTTCTCTAGTCTCATTCTCTGACTCTCTTGTTTCTCTCTCTCAGGTGTCTCTACTCTCTAGACCCTCTCTGGTCTCTCTCCCTTTTCTCTCCCTTTTCTCTCCCTGGTCTCTCTTTAGTCTCTCTCGCTCTCTTTCTCTCTCTCTCTCTCTCGTGTCTGTGGTCTTTCTCTCTGGTCTATCTCTAGTCGCTCTCTGGTCTTTAGGGGTGCAACGGTTTGAAAAAATCACGGTTCGGTTCGTACCTCGGTTCAGAGGCCACGGTTCGGTTCATTTTTCGGTTCATTTTTCTAAAAAAAAGTTTTGTCTTTTTAATAAACACAGCTCATGTGGACTCGGCACCTGCTCTGACTGCCCCCACCTGACCTAGAAATGAATTAAGGGGAAGGAAATGGATGGATGGATGGAAGGCATATTCCATCCATCCAATTATGTCTATTTAACATAATTAATGAAAAACAACACAAAGTGCAACATAAGAAGGCACTTTATGAGGATATTTACCCTCATATATTACACCACCTTTCTGATTCTCCCGAGGAGGGGGTCCATTCTGGGCCCAGCCTCATTCACTGCATTTATTTAATTTTTGGCATTATCAGTTGTGACTGGGATATTAGTACTGGGCCTTTGTCTTCCATTCCTCCGCTGCTTGTGTCAGAACCTGCGCTGTGTGACAGTGTGACTGTCGTAGAGGGGGCGTGTCTGCAGCGCCAGACTTTTCATCTCCCAGTCTGCTGTGATGAAGTTCTCCGTTCCGCTCATGGATCTATTATAGTTTCTGCGGGACGTCCAAGCGTCAGTCGTGAGCGCAGCTGAGGATGCGCGGGAGAGTTGACTTTAGCCCGGTCTGACTGTGCGTAAAGGAGCTGCTTAAATGCCGCGGCAATAAGCGGTCGTTGAGACGCTTTTTTCACTCATGTCTTTCTTGGTCCACAGTGCTTACACATCGTGACAGTTTTGTCGAATATTAATTATCAGTGTAGTTACAGTGAAGCCAAAATGCTCTCATACTGGGGATTTAAATGACGCAGGGCTTTCAAGCATCTCCGTTCCTCCGCTCGCAATGACCACGCTGTGTGTGGACTGAACAACGTGCGCACAACTTTTTTTTCATAAATCAAACCGCGGATCACGTCTGTACCGAACCGAAGACGTTGAACCGAACGGATCACGGATCAGTGATGAACCGTTGCACCTCTACTGGTCTTCTTTGGTCTCTCTCTCTGGTCCCTCTTTTTTCTTTTTCTCTGGTCCCTGTAGTCTTTGGTACAGAATAAGCAGGCGTGTCTCTCACACATTCAGTCTGGTCAGCATTCCTTACTTTGTTTTTTGTTGCCAGGATATGCCAGGTGATGGACTGGAGCTGGGTGGAATGGCTGTCTTAATCAGTGACACAGACACCAAGGTTCTTATTGAGGGCACGGAGGTCCTCAGTAACTTGCCCGCAACTGCTGTGTTAATGTTATTTGGACTGACATATGTGCTAAACCTTCAATACCCAAAAGAATTGAAGTTCACTTTTGAGTTTTTCCAGAAGGTTTTAATGGACGCTAGAAAGATGAACCCAAAAATGTGTCGCTTCTGTACTCTGCTGCACAATAAGCAGATATAGGTGCACTATAATAACTCTTTAGATAGACTGATCCAATCATACGTTTGTGTTTGTGTATATATAATATATATGTAACTCACCTTTCGCCCTCGTGGGTCGTTATCCCTCTCTCTAAGCTCGGGTCCTCTACCAGAGGCCTGGGAGCTTGATCTTTGCTGTTCCTAGCACTGCACATGTCTGGACCGAGATGTCCAAAGCTGTTCCAGGGATTCGGGGTCACTGCCCCGAGTGCACCGATCACCACGGGCACTACTGTCACCTTTTCCCTCCAGGCCCTCTCCAGCTCCTCTCTGAGACCTTGGTATTTCTCAAGCTTGTCGTGTTCCTTTTTCCGGATGTTACAGCGGATCCCTGGAACAACCTCGGACATCTCGGTCCAGAAATGTGCAGTGCTAGGAACAGCAAAGATACTGCACAGAACCCTCAAGCTCCAAGGCCTCTGGTAGAGGACCCGAGCTTAGAGAGGGATAACCGCCCACGAAAGGTGCTCTGTGTGTGTATGTGGGGGTGTGTGTGTGTATATATGTATGTATATGTATTTATGTATGTATATAAATATAATATATGTATGTATGTATATAGATATGTGTGTGTATATTATTAATTTAATCACATTTTATTCTGCAGTAATTGCAGCTCTGTCTGCAATGAACTGATTTGGTGCTAATTATAAAAAACATGTTTGAGCAAAGAACTGTTGTAACAGAATTTACTGTTGAATGTTTTTCTAAGACAGAATTTACAGTTTTTTTTTATTTCTAAAAGAATGTGCTTTTAAAAAGTTGACGTGTGTAATCTTAACAGTGCATTCATACATTTAATAAATATTGAAAAGAATGTTTGGTCTGAGTGACTTCTTTGGGAAAAAATATTGAGAGTCTAAAATTACTAGATTAGGCCAATTACTAAACCTTGCAATAAATACATATTTCACATTGTATAAAACTTAATTAAGATTTACTCTGTAAAACCCCTTTTTTTTACATTCAAGCCAATTTCTTTTTTCAATTTACACCAAGTTCAGAAAAGAGTTTGTATGAAATGCATGCATTTTTCTTATTTGAGCCAATGTAAAATATGTATTTGTACCAAATTAAGAAATTGCTGAAATTTAGATTGAACTGAATGGCTTCTGAACCTTAGGTCAATGTATAATCTTTATTGTGAATGGTTACTCTACTTTTTTTAAGTTGATCCAATGTTTCATTTTTTTCAGTGTACGGGTCTGCACTGGTCTCTCCCATGGATCTATACGGGTCTGCGCTGGTCTCTCCCATGGATCTATACGGGTCTGCGCTGGTCTCTCCCATATACGGGTCTGCACTGGTCTCTCCATACGGGTCCGTGCTGCATGCTCCTGGATCCACACGGGTCCGCGCTGGTCTCTCAAGTCTGGTCTATGCGGTCTATCTTCGGTCCGCGCTGGTCTCTGCGCACCGGTCTCTCCAGTCTATGCGGTCTCTCCTGTCCGCGCTGGTTTCTGTGTGCTGGTCACTCCAGTCTCTCCTCGGGTCTGCATTGGTCTCAGCGCTGGTCCGCGCTGGATCTCCTCCCAGGGTCCAAAATATTTTGAGATTAATCTCAAAACATTTTGAGATTCATCTTTAAAATAATACATAATATATTTTTAAATTAAGCTCATAACATTTTGAGATTAATCTCATCATATTCTTAGATTAATCTCATAATTTTGCTAGTTCGACTTTATTATCATAATATTTCGACTTTTAAGTCAACATTTTATAACTTTATTCTCAGTCTGGCAAAAGCCTGCTTTAGGCCTGTTGCTGTTTCCTCTGGCGTCTGCACACGGCCCTGCAGTCCCTTATATGGGCATTAGTGGGCGGTTACTTATGCTAAGTACCTATGCTAATGAAGCACCGGGCACGCGCGCTGTACTTACGAGGAAATGGGATTCATCAATCTGAGAGAACAGCTGCGAACAATTCAGCGGCTTACGAGTGCGTTGATGAATCCCACGTGGGGACTTCCTAGAAATCTACTTAAGGACAACTTGAGAAGAAAGTTGAGTAGTTTCTTACGTAGTTATTTGTGAATGAGGCCCATTGTTTTTATGCACATATTTATAATCTTTATGAATGATTGAAACACTGCAGGCTTTACCCTTAATACTTGATTGTTACTGTTTGTTAGAAATGCCCAAAACGTTCTTCAGTTTCGATCCTTTCTTATTTAGAACTAACTGTATTTGACCAAAGCTGTTAAGTTATGTAAAATGCACATACAGTAGAATGTTTCCGTCCACTGGTCACTGTGTGTGCGATCATTCTGACTCATTTAATTTGTCATGTAAGAGTTAGTTAGTTAGTCAAAAATGGGTTGAAAAGCAGGTTGTAAGTCATGTGAAAGAACAAGGCTCCTTCTGCAGTGGGAGCCCTTTGACTGTGAGTACTCGTGGTTTTGTCAAGGTCCTTTGTTCCTTTAAAGCCCTTCAAATCACCAAAAAATAAGCTTATAATGTAGAAGTGGACTTTTGACACAAACCATGAATGGTGGGAGTAATGTGTTCACACTCGTCAATTGAAGTGAACTCTGGTTGATGATGCTTCATGGAGATGTGAAAACAACAAAGTGTCCTCTGGTCCGTATAATAATAATAATAATAATAATAATGCGCAACCTGGCAACGGATGAAGCAAAAAAAAATGGATGGATGGAAACTAATAATGTATTGGTTTTATATGGCGCTTTTTTGGACATTCAGAGACACTCTCAAGTCGTTATTCTTTCACTCCATACACCAGTGGTAATAAACTTCTACTGTAGCCACAGCTGCCCTGAGACACACAGACATAACTCTGGTCACTGCTTTTGAAACAGATCTGTGACGCTATGAGGACTGATGCTGAACCGAGCCTGGTTTACTGATTTGTGCCCTTAGTCTCTTACTACTAACTACTATATAATAGTTTATATGTATAAAACAAAAAACAAAAAAAATGAAAACATAATACTTATAACACAACATCATATAATGTTTGGATTTTATAATTCTAGTGTTATAGGCCAGCTATTCTTTACCAATTAGTTTTAATCACCAAATAATCTATAGCTCAGCATCACTGTCAAAGTTGTTGTCCAGGATCCATGTTTCATTGGGTTTGAGGTTTGAGGTTAGGGGTTTGGGGTTAGGGTTAGGTCAGGTTAGGTTAGGTTCAGATTATGGTGAAGGTTGGGGTCAGTCCAGGATCAACTAGTAACAGTGTTTATTACTTGGGGATATCACATTAGCACATACCATAGTGTTAATTTGGTACTTTTTTTCAGACAGCGTGAAAACCACATGTATATTTTCCCTGTATGCAAATTCCCCATTTAACACACCGTTTGTGTGCTAATATTGTTTCGAACACATCTTCATGAACCATTGAACTGCGTCTCCATGAGGTCATGTCTGGGTTCGCTCTGCAGATGTTGTTTTATGAGCGCAGAGATGCGACCGTGCAACAGCTGGCTCCATCATCACTTCATCATTCACATTCACACTCTCACATCTGCCGCTCATTCCTTAAATCACAATACAACGTGCAATGTAAATGATATAAAAGGTGTTTCAACTATTATGATTCCCCTTAAAACAAAACACACCCTCCTTCCTCTTGCTTAAGACTTATAATGTATTTGTGTTGTGTGGTTAACTGCTTTGTGAGGAAAGGTGAGGGTATAAACTCAAAGCAATTAGCCTCCTCATTAGCCTCCTTTTTCATTTCTGTATCGAAGGCAACATTAATGCGGCTGGTACAGTCGGCTATCATCCTCTAATCTCCCTGTCAATACTTTCAGATTGCACTTTTATTACAGAGCAATCAAGCATCATAAAACATAACATAAATAATACCATTTAACGATGAATGTGGAGTTTCCTCGTACAATTAAATGGACATAAATAGATTACAGCACACAAAGAATTTGCTTCGATTTCTAGAATGTTCCCTTTAAATAGAACAAGCATGTTTGCCTTTAGTGTGTATTCAATATATATTGTATATACAGTAGTATTGTATTCATAACACATATAAAATACTGCTGTGTCTTTTGGCTTAACCCCCTGTTCTTCATCCAGCTCTGTCACATATGGCACAAGCTATCCCAAGGCAACTTCTCTTGCAACAAGGGACAAAACTGTTTGGTCACGAATTGTTCTGTTTTAGCCAATTCAGAGGATTGAATTGGCAATGTGTAGTTTCAATTAGACTTCTCCATCCTCGAAACACACTGGCTGCTTCATTGTAATTAACTGCAACACTGTCCCTCTGAAGAAACAATAGACAAGCAAATGCATACACAAATACCACTGAAGAGCGGCTCCATAAGTTTTTGGTTTTTAATTTCAGACGTAGCTTTTGTAGCTGTAAATGGGCTGAGGAGGTCTGCAAGAATAGACACTGTGCAGACGTATTTTGGCAATTTGGATGTACAGTTTTTCCATATACTTATACAGAATAGTATCCGTAAAAGATCTTCATAGGATGTTGGTGTCTGGCAATAACATGTCTCTTCACGGTGAACAAGGAGCACTCCATCAGGGCGTGGACTGTGATTGTCATGCGTGTGTCGTGTCCCAGCTCTCTCCCGATGGGAGCTCTCCCCACAGCTTCCCGAGGCCTTATCAGGCCGCCTCAGCCCAGGACCGTATCTCATTCTGAAGGCTCTCAGCTGACACCTTTGAAGCCCAATCATGTGGAGGTGAATGTTAACGCTGCCAGGTGCCCCTCACACAATCCCTTTGAAGAATACTACTTTTACAGCACTACAAACCCACTGTCCCGAGCTGGAGTCTGGAGACAACATGTAACTGAAAAGTTGTTAGAATGATGAATGATTTGCTTCAAGATTATTTACTGTCTTAGTAGTTGCGTTGCATTCCTCATTTTAGATACTGAGGTCAATGGTGTTCATTTCGTGAACTGGAAACAAGAAATGTAAAAACAAAATTCAACAATGCAATGCAAAACGAAGACAGACAAAAGACAGTACTTCCTTAACCATTAAACACACCTGTACAAACTGCACCTTCTACATTTGAATAGAAAGTCCATTTTAGGCAACCCAAAAACCCAACCAACAACTGATCGGACCAAAGCAACACACTGTTCGCAATGATCGTAGCACTTTGATAAATCAATCTATTTTAACGATAGAATTTCTATATAAACTTGATGGAGTCAAAATGATGAGTCTGACCATGGCCCTATTCAACTGTTATTTCCCCAACACTTGCCTTTGCTCTCTGCTATTCACATAAACACACCGGGAGTGGCTTATAGTCCAGTATTGTACTTACCTAAATAAACTTTAGAGCTAAACTGTGCCAGATAAAGTGGTGCCAATGACCATACATGCTTAAGGAGGCAAATGAATGAATTAAAATGGGGGTAAATGGAGAAACAACAGGATGACAAGAGTAGAGTAATTGGTTTAAAAGATAGTGTGTTCAAGTAACATTAGAAAACAGCATCAAATACATACTATAGCCTCATTCTCTGATACTTCTGATGGCTCCAAAGGCATCCAAGACACATTTTATCAAGGGAATCAGCAAAGGTTATTGAATAAAGAATATCCTTGACCTGCTGTTATGAAATCAGAGTATTGGATCGGCAGAACTCTGAGATAAAATCCTTGCTTTACATGTCAACAGAAAACATTTCATCCCCTGACATGTTAGCATCCAGTAAGCACTAAGATGGATGAGAGGTGATTGACTGTCAGAGCGGTCCATGCGGCTTCACTTTCTCGCCTGGAAAAGATACCAAAAAAAAGCTAAAATCTGTGCTTTTATACATCTGTACTGCAAACACTCAATTACAATCAAACGGATCCCTTTCTGTTCAACTTTACCACTACATTTTGAGGGCTGCATATATAGGAAATACCTGCACAATTCCAACCCACTGTACCACTCTGATCTGATCTGTACATACTCCTCCCGCCCCCCTCATGCCTTTATTATGGCTGCTGTATTAGTATCCCACAGCGGCTCGCTCTGCCCCTGCTGGACCTCTCTATTGGTATGCAGGGCGGCATTGGCGTCTGTTTGCGGGGGGAGGATAAAGCGCTAATCAGTGCCAATGAAGCTGATCTTGTCCCAGAGCTCAAATGTGCCAACCTCAGCAGCAGCAGTAGCAGCGGCAGCAGCAGCAGACCATGCTTATGCAGTGTGTGTGTGTGTGTGTGTGAGGCTGGACAGCAAAGGGAGCAATATCAGAGAGGGCAGGCGGAGGTCATTTTCTCGTACAAAAATGTTATTCTGTGGTGTTTTATTCCCCGGACACTGCTAGTTGTGCAGAATAATCACACTTGCAGCTAATTTCCTGCGTCTTTTTATTGTATTTGAGCAGTTTGGAAGACATATACCTTAACATGGGTTTTCACATTCATACATCATGCATGTTTTGACTGGGGCACTGTTGTCTACTATGCTCTATCCTCAAAAGGCTGTAATGTGCTAGAAACATGTGCTGAGTTGAAAGTCCATTTGTGATGTTGTGTTGTGGACAGTGGTGTAAGAGATTATGGTATAAAAATATGTCTTTGATTCATATTTCCAATAGACTACTGTGTTTTGAGTGGTGGGGGAAACTAGTCGTCACCTTGCGCTACAGGCTGAATTCACGTACTGTCAGTGATCACAAACTCCAGGATTTGATTCAACTTCTCTGTCTAAGGTGTGCCAGGCCAGGAATGCAGAGTGCTCAGAGGAAACCTGCCCAGACATAGAAACATGCAAACTGAGCTTATGTGAGATGAGAGCCATGCCCACCCACTGTTGGGGAGCATTCAATTGAACATTCTGATGGTTTCTTGTCCTTCGTCTGATATGTTTTTTTTAGCGCATGTATTTATCTAGTTGCTGTATTTGTCTCCACAATTTCAAGACCATTCATTTCCAAGTCATTTAAGATAAAACATAAAAACGACACCACAGGTTCATTCTACCTGACATCTTTAATTCTAAAGTAAGTATACTCCTACAGCCACTTTACCAAACGCTATGAAGTGGTTCTTACTAAGTGCATGACTAAACCCAGTTTACCTCTTACGTGTCAGTGCTGCTCATAATTGCGCCTCATCCCGATGCACAAAGGCTACATTCATTATTGGAGATCACCCGTTGTTATCCTCCTCTGCCTTTTCCTCCGGAGTGCTTCCATTACACTGGAACTTTTCTGTTTGGATGATTGAGTTTGGTGAAAGTCACTTGTGATGGTACGGTCCGTTCTCTGCGCTGTCTGTGGTCCACAGTGATGACTCAGGACGACTGCGGGGAAATCGTTTTTTGGAAAGGTCGTAGATCAGGAATGAGTGAAAGCATTTTGTGAACTGGAAAAACAAAGCAAATTGAGAAAACAAACAGAAACCCTGAAATAAAGCATAATGTTGTGGAATATTCCAAGAGAAATGATCAGAGGCAGATTAGGATTTAGTTTTTTTGACTAACTTTATAGAATTACTATTTAATATTTTAAGGAAGCATTTTTCCGCTTGAAATGGATGGGACAGGTCTTAAAAGTCAAACAAACTTCTATCATCATTCTATACATAAGACAGCTTTTTTCCCAGGGCAGCTATAGATCATTCTTTAAACAGAAGTTAAAAAGCATGAACGAAGCTGTGTATAAACTATTCCATCATTGGTCATCACACGGGAGTACACTTGTCACACAAACTGGGACCAGGCTGATTATTATGTGAAAAACATTGTAGTTTTTTTGGGAGGTTTTGGCAAAAGCAGCTTTCATGAATCCAGTGTTGGACAGTGAACATGTGTTTTGATCAATCTGTTTATTTAAGATGGCAGAATAATTGCCAATAACACATCAGTGCTTATATGACTTCACTAAATATTTTCATATTTACTTACATCTACATCCTTTATGTGTTCCCAGGTAATAGTTCCAAATACATAATGGAAACGTCGTATTTGAACTGTTCTGATGTTTAGTATTTTCTCCACCGACTCCCACTGATATCTGCTGTTATTGTGTCCTTGGGCAAGACACTAAACCTCTGGTTGCCACACTGGGGCGGCTGTGGCTGTAAAGTGCCAAACTGCCGTTGTGTCCTTAAGGCAGACACTTCACCCCCATTGCCTAGAATGAGTCTGGTGTGTGTGTGAATGGTTGGTGGTGGTCGGAGGGGCCAATGGCACATACTGGTTGCCTCACTTATGTCAGTGTGCCCCAGGGCAGCTGTGGCTACAATAGTAGTTTATCACCACCGTGTTTGCAGTGAATGAATAATGACATGTGAAGTGTCTTTGAGTGTTCTGAAAATCATGATACTTGTTTTTTCAAGTAACTATTTTCAAATGACTATCCAATCATAGAGCAGAATGAATCATAATTCATAATTAGTTGGAAATTATCTAGTTTTGGTTCACCTTCTCTTTTTTGAAACTTTTATAACGTAAACATTTCTAGCTTACTGTTTCTAGCTATACCCCAGCAGGTGGATTGCATCTGTAATTAGTGCCTAGAAGCTATATGTATAACAGGAGGATGATTAAGAATTTATGATTGGATGGAGAAATGTGAGGAGAAAATTAAAAGGTGTTATAGAGTTAATTAATAGTCTAGTTTTCTTCTCTCCCCCAGCCTTTCTAGTGCATTGAATTTCTTTGTCAAACGCAGTCTCTGTCAGACAGTGCTTATATGTTATTAAGAGCTGTTTTGAGAATAACTTTTTAGACCTAGTTGTAAGTCTAAAAGTCTGTGACACATCAGTTATATGTAAATGATTTCTCTCCCATAGGTCAAGTGTTTGAGTCCGATTATATAGTCCACTATTACACTGAAACGATCACTCATGAATATCAGTTCCGAGACAAAGTGGCTTTTTATGATGAAAGGTCTGTAGGACGTAAGAGCACTTTGAGCAAGAGCACACAGAGTTCCAAAATTCACACAACTTTCCGGCATCATTACAAATACAAAAGTGACTCGATTGAACAAGATTGCACTCTTGTTATATCTCCACTCTGCTCTATCTGAGTAAATCTGACTGAATGAATGGTTCAATGTTGGTGGTTTTCTCAACATTCTGCGGACTCTACATAGTATCCAGTCCATTTGGTGCTTGCTGGAGTGACTGTATTTGCTTTATTGTTTGTCCAACCCTACTTCTTAGCGAGGTCCTCTATCACTAGTCAGAGGAGGATGGAGCGTGAGATTGACAGACTGATCGGTGCAGTATCCGACTGTTTTGGTGACGACGGAACAGTGTCTGCAGTCACTATATCAACTGTTTTGGTGAAGAGAGAGCTGAGTTGAAAGGCAAAGCTCTTGAAATGTTGTGGGCATTTGTCTGTCACCCCACAGAGAGAAGGGAGCGAGGTCGCCAGTGCAAGAGGCGGATGCCAGACCTATTTTGTGCATGTTTTTCGTGGTAGGGGAAACCAGAGCACCCGGAGGAAACAGGAGCACCTGGAGGTAACCTACGCAGACACACGGAGTGAACATGCAAACTCCTCTCAGAAAGGCCCTGTTCCGACCGGGATTTGAATCCATAGCCATCCGTACACTGCGCTCAATCATCATTTCCCTGCATGTAACGTCTGGGTCTGGTCCTTGTGTTAGTGATTACAATCGGTTGAATTCCATCCGACCAATCAACGAGCGCGGGAGCCGGGTGTTGTAGTTAGTTGTGGGTGACGTCAAA